TAATATCTCAGAGATGTTGTCAAGTGGGTGTCCGTTAAAGTCTTGCTGTGTAGCATTGCTTGAAAATTATACAAGACTAACGGATGGAAAGTATAAAATGTAAATATTGAATTACAATGTTGTAATGTTGTAATGTTGAATTGAATAACTTAATGACTTTCGTGTCTTTTTAAGGTAAAGCATTTTTCCCGTTATACATACGAGTTTGCAAGTGTTTATAGCAACATACTTTCGTGTATGTCTATAAAGATGTGGCTTAATATTTGAAAGCCATTATTGATTATTTCACCATTTTTACTTTCAATAAATTTTATTTATACTAATCTATCTGCATTAAAATATTCTTCTAAATCCTATTTCAAGAGGAGTACATTAGGGATCTTTGAAAAATTGTTTAGTTGGGAATGCTGTGAATTCATATACTCTTATTACTCTATGCAAGACGACGAATACGTTCATAGAAATGAAACGCATTCAGAGAATAATTACAAGTGGATAGGGATTTTTAGACTCTAAAACCATTTTTATGTTCTTAAAAGACGAAAAAACAATTTATTTTCTTAAATAATCAATATAAATTGAGACGATAGTAAATTTTCAGTAAAAAATTGTATTTTATTGGCATTTTTAGCTCATATTTTATTAAAACAATTATTTAAATGGGACTTTTTGGCACAGTAAAGTTGGATGCAGTGGAAACAGTGTACGTACTATCGTCATTCGCACCAAAGACAAGCAATGTACTGTGTTGTATTAATACATAGTGTTTGAAGCATGGTTGTCAAAAACATGCAATACGTTTATTGCTCATGGAATGAAAAAACAAAGAAACAATGGAATAATGTGTATAATGGTATAGTGTCGGACAAGAACGCTTTTATATTTTCAATTTTCCACATCCTAGAACTCAAATGCCTCACACAATAAAACACTCTTTCAAGCTGAGTATTGGAAGATTAATAGTGATAAAATGTGTTATAGAATTTTTGGTACCTTAGATCCAGATTAGCATAAATACGGAACTCGAGAGCCTTTCTACTATAACTAAACTAAATGAAATACCCTGGATTGTAATTTGAGACAATCACCAGTATAATAAGCGAAAAACTGTGAGCCGATAATGTTCCGAACAACACGTTATAAATAACAGACTTTCGACGCAGTGTTCCTTGTTTTCAATAGTTCCGAGGTATTGGTTTAGTTTTGTGAAAATAATGAAACGTTTTTGTAGTCAACGAGTCAAGATTGTTATATCATATTGCTGTTAACTCCCACTGCACAATTCCGCTCTTCTTAAGGTGATTCTGCTCCAAAAACTTTTAAATTGCCAAAACAATTTTAAAAAATCGAAAATTTACTATTATATTTATTATAGTATTATTAACTGACGAATAGATATGGAGTCATTGATTGAAATATATGAGAAGCCTATCTGACTAACTCCATCAAAATAAATTTTCAGTATGAACAGTTTAAGTGTTTAATCCACAAAGAAGTCTATAATTTGTTCAACACATTTCGAACAAACTCATTGAGTTATTACAATTAAGGGTATGTTTTCAACACTATAAAATATATTTAATAAACTCAAAGTCTCTCTTTGCAATTAAAAGACCACTTTATATGGAGTTGGTCACATTGCCTACTGAAAGGTGTTGACATGATATTCTGAGTGGTTTCTAAACAAGTTATTTTATTAAAAATATACGCCCAGAACAAAAAATTTTAATTAGAAAAAGTTACCAGTATTATTATAAGTAATTAAACTATTTGAAATAAAATAAAAATTACCTCAAATACAAATAAAAATGCGTGTATTGCCTCAACTCTGCGTAAGTGATGCAATGATCATCACTGGTAGGCTCTTCTTGAAGGATTCCTCTTTGCAGTGTTCATGTTTTTATAATAGTGGTGATGAATAGGAGGTATAAACTTCAAGAAGCCTATTACATAGTTATTTTTTGCCATGGAGAGCTGTCTTGATGTGCTATAAAGAAGATCTTGGGAGTCATGAGCTAGTTTCTAAGAACGTCTCTTTCCATTTTTCTTTTGGATATTTCCAAATGTCATTTCTGGCAAGAAAGTAGTTTTATATTTGATAGTTAAGGTTCAGCCTTCTCATTCCAGATACATCTCACTGTTAGCCAATTAACTGGTTCACCTTCGACCCATTTTTCCTGTTGGTGATGCATTTTTCTACATTTTCTGTCAATTGGGAGTATGAATGGTTAATTTTTGTAAGGAAGTACTTGTTTTGTTTTCCTGCAGCATATCATACCAATCCCTTAGAGAAAAGCGGTGGTTGCTAGTTTTTATCCTCTTTCAGGAAAAATGATTGAGGAAAAACCTGAATCATTCGGAAGGTAACTAGGTCAACAAGGAAATTGAAGTCAATAGTTTCAGTGTCACCACGCTGATTTTGCAGATATTTCAAAACAGAGAACAACTTTGGTGTTCCGTTTTTTTGAATGAAATAAGAAAGTGAACATAAGAAATACCACATACACAAAGACTGTCACCCGCACCCCACCCCTCTTCTCGCCCCCTCCCGCTGCCGACCGGCTGTGCTCTTAAACAAGACAC